TTAATCTATGGCAATACCATATACACAGATTCTTGACAGACTTAGGAAGAAAACTAACAAGAATAGGTAAAGTGAAGGAAGATGAGAGAGGCTGTTAAGGCAAGACTGACTCCCAGGTTTGGGTGACTGTATGAGTGGTGGATCTTTAAGACAAAAAATAGGAGGAAGCTAGTAGTGATGACTACTGAGGTTGGTTTTAGATATCTGAAACTGGAGGTCACTGAAGGATACCTGGAAAGAGATACATTAGAAGAGGAAGATTTGGAATTCAAAGCTCAGGAGAGAGGACTTAAGTGGAAATGGAGCCTTATGTACCTGGGTTGCAGATTATGGGTAATGCCAGAAAAATTAATCAGATATACAAAGGATGACCTGAGGGGATGCGAAGGAGAATGATTAACAGCGACAGATGATATAGAAGAATCAAGTTGAATAAGGCCAGCAATGCAATGACCAGTGGAAATGACAATTGCAAGGTGGAAGACTCTTTAGCCTTCATTTACACCCTGGTTCCAAATAGGAAAAGGAGTATGTCAAGGCTGTATATTGTCACCCTGCTTATTTAACTTATATGCAGAGTACATCATGAGAATTGCTGGGCTGGAAGAAACATAAGCTGGAATCAAGATTGCCAGGAAAAATAATAACCTCAGATATGCAGATGACACCACCCTAATGGCAGAAAGTCAAGAGGAACTAAAGAGCCTCTTGATGAAAGTGAATGAGGAGAGTGAAAAAGTTGGCTTAAAGTCAACATTCAGAAAACTAAGATCATGGAATCTGGTCCCATCACTTCATGGCAAATAGATGGGAAAACAGTGGAAACAGTGTCAGACTTTATTTTTTTGGGCTCCAAAATCACTGCAGATGGTGATTGTAGCCATGAAATTAGAAGGAAATTTTCCTTACTCCTTAGAAGGAAAGTTATGACCAACCTAGACAGCATATTAAAAAGCAAAGACATTACTTTGCCAGCAAAGGTCGGTCTAGACAAGGCTATGGTTTTTCCAGTGGTCATGTATGGATGTGAGAGTTGGACTGTGAAGAAAGCTGAGTGCCGAAGAACTGATGCTTTAGAACTGTGGTGTTGAAGAAGACTGTGGAGAGTCCCTTGGACTGCAAGGAGATTCAACCAGTCCATCCTAAGGGAGATCAGTCCTGGGTGGTCATTGGAAGGACTGATGCTGAAGCTGAAACTCCAATACTTTGGCCACCTCATGAGAAGAGTTGACTCATTGGAAAAGACCTTGATGCTGGGAGGGATTGGGGGCAGGAGGAGAAGGGGACGACAGAGGATGAGATGGCTGGATGTCATCACCGACTGGATGGACATGAGTTTGAGTAAACTCCGGGAGTTGGTGATGGACAGGGAGGCCTGGCGTGCTGTGATTCATGGAGTCGCAAAGAGTCGAAATGACTGAGCGATTGAACTGAACTGAACTGAGGCCCTGGGTTGTCTTGTACAACTTGTAACTCTTTTCCAACTGACCACTCCCTTAGCTATAAACATGCCCAGTGTTGAATGAAAGGTTCCACTTTTTGAAACTGTCTTCCAACCCAACTATATCCAACTTGTTTACAACAAGTTAGCCATTCCTACTAGCCATGCCTTTCTGAACCACAAGTGGATTCTTGAGTATAACACTGAACCAAGTAGAATCTCTTTTTGTCTCCTGAAGAGAATATGGACTATTAACCAATGAAGCCATAAAGGTCTATAAAACTGGGGGTCATCTCAAGTCACCTATGATTTATTTTACAGAGAGATTTGGAATCGTTAAGTTTGCTTTAAATCAATACTACTCATTTGCTTTAAATTTGGTTGTTGGGATTTCTCCCAGTCAAGTTCTCTCCTCCATACAAAAGCCCCATTCAAGTAAACCATGTCTCCAGCCTCTGATATATCTCATCCTGCCTCCTGCCCTTCTCCCATACACCCGTTTTTCTCCAATCACATCACTCATGGAAAATTAACTGTACTCATGGAAAATTAATTGCAAGCAATTAGTCCTGGCTGTCAAAACAAAGAACTGTGCAAAAACTTAAACCAATATTGGGAACTGGGATTCTCTGCAGACTAGGAAACAGCCCATAAAGTATAGTTTGCCCGTGTCCTCAAAATACCACCTATTTTATTAAACACAGATCTGCCAAGCTCAAACTTACAATCTACCCATGACTACTGCCTACACCAGAACAGGAAGGAAGGGGTGAGACTGAGGAAAGGATGTCAGGAGACTTCCAACTTTCATAGGGTATCTATTTGGCAGTGAGGAAGAAAAGGTGGCTAATAGAGCTATAATGGAAATTCCTCTTCACCCTGAGAACAGATTCCTTTATTTCTAAGGACTACCCAGCAAATCCTAATCTGAAGGCAAAGAAAGGGAAGACTCCTCCATAACACTAGTTAACTGACTGTGGGCATTCAATCCCATCAGTCTCTTAAAAATCTTGGACAGGAAAGGACAGAAAGAGGAGAGAAAAAGAATGAGGACATGATGTGAAAAACAGAAGGATAATGGAGGGCAATTTAAGGATGCAGACAAAGAATCAGGAGAGCACAGGACTTAAGTTCAAAACTCAAAGAAGTGGTATTTCCTGGTGGTCCAGTGGTTAAGAATCCACCATTCAATGCAGGGGTATGCATTCCTTTCCAAAAAATAGTTTATCATAACACCTTGGAAGAAAATACTGAGTTTTCATTGTGTCCAGGCACTTTGCTATGCATCATTATTTCATATGACCCTCACAATAATCCTCTAATTTCATTTTTACAGATGAATAAATGAGATGTTTACATACTTTCCCCAAGTTCATGCAGCTAGTTAAGAGCTAAGCCAGATTTTTAATTATCTGTGCTTGACTCACAACCACTTTCCCACACTATTCCCTTTAGATTCCAAGAACCTTGCCAACTATGGGATCACTTTCTACTCCTCACAGACTGAAACTCAGAAGACAAGGCTATGGGACTGACAAAAATCCACTTACTTACTGTGAGCAAATAACATGCTAACTGTCTTCAAAGGGGATAAAGGACAGAACACATAAAGATGAAACCACAGAAATATTAAGTGATAAATTGCATCAGGTAGGCAATTAAATAGTAATAATGTGCTGGTGTGCTGTGCGCACTGCACTCAGCCGTGTCTGAGTCTCTGCGACCCCATGGACTGTAGCCCACCAGGTGCCTCTGTCCATGGAATTTTCCAGGCAAGAATACTGGAGTGGGTCACCATTTCCTCTCCAGGGGCTCTTTCTGACCCAGGGACCGAACCCCTGTCTCCCATGCATCTCCTGCATGGCAGGCAGAATCTTTAAAGGACAGGACAGATAAAGATTGGCCCACACACAAATATAAGTCATAAATTGCATCAGGTAGGCAATTAAAGGGTTTCCCTGGTAGCTCAGCTGGTAAAGAATCTGCCTGCCATGCAGGAGACCCTGGTTCAATTTCTGGGTCAGGAAGATTCCCTGGAGAAAGGATAGGCTAACCACTCCAGTATTCTAGGACTTCCCTGGTGGCTCAGATGGTAAATAATACGCCTGCAATGTGGGAGACCTGGGTTCAGTCCCTGAGTTGGGAAAATCTCCTGGAGGAGGGCATGGCAACACACCCGGCATTCTTGCCTGGAGAATCCCCATGGACATAGGAGCCTGGCGGCCTACAGACCATGGGGTCTCATAAAGTTGGACACAACTGAGCAACTAAGGACAGCACAGGCAATTAAACAATAATAAAAGTATGTACTATTTCTATTTTATACCTTTGTAAACTGTTTCTGAGCTTCAGAAACATTAGCAGGTGCTAATCTTATCTCTTTTACCTACAGACCTTGAGCCAATTAACTGCATAAGCACAGTGACTCCCATCAGCAACTGGGCACTGCTCTTCTGAGGACAGAATTAGTCCAAGCAGGCAGAGCAGGCACAGTGCAGGTGCTCAACTAATGCCAGGCTCTTTCCCCAAGCACTGCCCAAACCTGGCATCGAGAGTGGCTCGAGGAGCCCTGCAAATACGTCTACGGAAGGAGCCGAATGAGAGGAATGCACCGTGATCTCCGTCTTCTAATAGGATTCACAAGTTTTGTACGATTGCCTATTTTCTGAACTTGGCTCTGAAATGAGCTATTATTCTCTGTTTCACTCTTCTTCACATTATCCAAAATAATTCAATGTCCACCTTTCCCTTTGGGAAAATCAAAGGTTGACACAGCTACCTTTTGAACTCAAGCTGTTAAAGATCCCTTTCTTCTGTTCAAAAAGTTTTACTGATTTTGAAAGGTCTTAGTGATAAAACACAGAGAAACTCAGGGGAAAAGGACAAAGAGAAAGAAGAAGAAAGAGAAAGAATAAAGAGGCCAGAAAAGAAAGAGAAGGAAAAGAGCCCAAGAGGGGCAGAAAGAGGCAAAAGGCTACTGAATGCATAATTGCCAACAGACTTAGAAACTGGCTCAGGTTACAATCATGGAGCATTATTTTTAAAAACCAAGGGGAAAACATTTACACAAAATCCAAAGCATATACATTCTTTGTTATAGGCTGGAAAATGACAATGTATTCAATTCATTAATTCATGAATTAGTCTGTGCGATGTTTACTCCTGGCAGCGTTAGCCTTTTAGAAATGAATATTTAAGAGAAAAGGGGAGAAATTCAAAAACCAAAGACAGAAAAAGAACCATTTTTTCCTGTTTTGTTTTCTGACTCTATTTGTGTGCTGCAGCTGTATTTGTATAGTGTTGGCGAGATTTAGGGGAAGGGGGTGAATGAAACGGGTGGTAGGGAACCTCCCAAGTCCCTCTTGAAGCCCTCCGTCTCCCAGCTAGGTGTAAAAGTCACAAGAATTTCAAACCATTTTCTAATTGTGCTCATAAACAATAGTTTCAAAAGCTGATATGTTATAATAAACACATATTTAGAGTAAATTAGGCCTTAATTATGTTGAGCAAGTTTTATGTTCTCATTAAAACCCGAATCACAACAATAAACATGACTTACCAGCGGAATTAACTCTGCTGCAATTGTCTACTCTTCCCAAACATTCTTTGTGTGCTCTGGCACCACACTTAACACATAAATAACCTTGAAAAAATGTTCCCCTGCAAGGGAAAATCAGAGTGATAGGTTAAAAGGTGCAAAATTCTGCCTCTAGGAAACCATTAGTGCCAGGAAGCAGAACAAGAGAACACAGCACTATGCAGAGTCCCCTTAAAGCCAATGGAGAGAACATTCCTAGGTTCTGAAGGAAAGGTCCAGGCACAAGGCCAAGGAATGATCTGATGGATCCAAATTGGTAAGGCAATATACCCATTAGAAAACATTCTGCCTGGGACCTTAGGAAAGCCGAAACATTTGGCAGTTACACCAGTTCCTTTAAACTGAAAACCAAGACCACGCCAACTGACCTCAGGAGCATCTGGCAGACTCTGCAGGATGTAACCCGGTTGAAGGTGTGCATCTTGAATTCATGGAAGTTGGAGTCTGCATAGTCTGGCCTTATGTTAGATCTAGACAAAAGGAAAAAGGTAACATCCTCAAGAAAGCTTCACAACACAGCATCAGTCTAAGTTCATCAATTTTACACTGGGTAGAGAAGTGATTCAGGCAAATAGGCTATTAAACACACAATGTTTTCTAAGCCAAATGCTTTGCATTGAAATGCATTAATGCAGATGGGGAACACATGTAAATCCATGGCTGATTCATGTCAGTGTATGGCATAAACCACTACAATATTGTAAAGTAATTAGCCTCCAACTAATAAAAATAAATGGAAAAATAAAATAAAATGCATTAATGCTTTGCATCAAAATATGCACCAAAATCCGACTGTGTGAGAACCAGCAACATATAAAGACTGAAGCAACCAAATCTAGCTCAGAATTGCATGTTCCCAGGGAACTTTACAGACTGGCCACGTAGGTCAACCTGCCAGGAAAAACACAAAGCCTGAGGGATATTCATGCTGTGTGATGATTTCTTTTTTCTCTAGCCACATCACCAAAATAGAAACTAGCTGCAAGGGGTGGGAGGGAGGGGAAAGGGGTACTGCATTTCCACAGGGTTCCTGTCTAAATAGGTATGTGGATTATGTAACGATCTATAAAAGTGAATACAAATTTCCCAAAAGAATTGAAACAAAGCATCAGTCTGATCATTAAAAATGTCCTCCTTAAAAACAACCCAGTTTTCTGGCAATCTAAATAAAAGGTAAACAAAATTACTTTATCATTTATATTTTCTTTATATTATACACATATGCAAAAAAAATACTAAGCATACTGCAAAATGACATTCACTGTGCATTTACTCTGTGCCGATACTGTGGTAAAACACAATGTGCTCATTACACCTTACTTAACCTTCACACCAATCCTAACTGTGAGGCACTAATCAATTCACTAGTTTACAAACAGGGAAATATAAGCTTGCATGTGTGTATCCTAAGTCACTTCAGCTGCGTGTGACACTTTGCAACTCAATGGACAGTAGCCTGCCAAGTTCCTCTGTCCATAGGATTCTCCAGGTAAGAATACTGGAGTGGGTTGCCTTGCTCTCCTCCAGGGAATCTTTCCAATCCAAGGACTGAACTCATGTCTTTTATGTCTCCTGCACGGGCAAGCAGGTTCTTAACCACTAGCACCACATGGGAAGCCCCATCAAAAGTTTACATTAAAGGACAAGGCCGAGCTGGGAACTCCAACCCAGGTCTGTGCTCTGAGTCACCAAAGTTGCAGTGCAAGGAGGAATTCAACAGTATTCACCTTCATATAATTAGATTTTTGTGTTTATAAGTATATGGGAAACTATTAAGTTTAGTCATTTCCAGAGGGCTTTTTACATTATTCTTAATTTGTCCATGTTACCAAAGAAAGCAGAAAAATTATGAAAGGATAAATTAAAAATGAATACAGATAGAGGGACAACTAGAAAGCTAAGATGAGGCTCTCTGAGATGTTACAAGTGATCCGCGAGACTGTAAGAAAAGTTTGAGGTGAGCCAGGATTTCCCCTTTTATAGCACACAGCGACTCTCAAGCACACCCAGCCTTGGCATAATGAAGCATAGCGCAGGCGGGCAACCAGGCATCAATCTCTGAGGTACCAGGAGAAGCCTTACGAAAAAACATTCACAAAGGCAATTGGAGTAGCAGGCAGTGATGCAGAAGTGTCAGCAAGGGCAGCCTTGCAATCCATCTGCTGAATATAACCGTGCTAAAAATGAAATCAAATATTAGCGCCATCTGGGATTTCTCTGCTCTGTGCTTCTGGCGACCTCACTTTTTAGGAAAATGCTCCACTGCGTGCTGAAAAGGACGGCCATTTCCATGGAGGCATTTTTCTGTTGCTGATTAAAAATTACAGACTGTTTCTTCAGGAAGGGAAAAGTTGAAGAAAAGATAATGATCTAGAAACAAAACGTCTTTTCACGCTGTTAAAAACATTTGATTCTCGAGTCCATACAGCCAGGCATGGATATGAGCATGGAAACCCATTTCCTCAGCCAGGAAGGCCCATTGTTCATCTCTCTCTGAGCATCAAGGTGACACAGTGAGAGAACTGTCAAACAGCACCTTCATTCTGGCAAACGAAGAATTCATTAGCCTGGAGTTTCAGAATAAAAGTAGGTCTCCCTCAGGCAAGAACTCAAGTAAATAGATACAAAATAGGTAAGAATTTAATTAATTTTAGAAGTCTACCTAGAACATCTTTCTCTTAGGGTCAGCCCAAGTTATGTGTGTGTGCTGTGTGTGTGTGTGTTTACCATTTGTATCTAACATTTTCACCAACTAACTAGGAATAAGCTGACATTTCAGAAGACAAAAGCTGAGTGCAAGATTACATTGAAAGGTTAAAAAGAAAAGTCTTACATAAAGAAAAAAAATGGAAAATATTGTTGACAGTAGTTGCCATAAGTTAAGTGAGACTTGAAGATGTAGAGTAGAATGGTGGTAGAAAGGGACAGTTGGAAATTTGGGGCTAGTTTTTAACTTAACTGCATATTATTTTAAAAATTTTAAATCAAACACTAAAGAATAAAAGTTAACTCTATGACCCTGCTACTGAGGCACTATAGAATATAAAAGCATGGTTGAAAGCAGGAATCTGAAATCAGACCACCTGGGCTTACATCCTAACATGCAAATCACTAACAGGGTGACCTTGGGCAAGTTAATAAGTACAAAACAGGAATACTAATAAAATCAAACTCAGAAAGGAAGGTAACTTATGTAAAGTGCTTAGGACGATGCCTAGCCCAGAGTTAGTGTTCAATAAGTCTTGGCATTGCTGATTCTAATTACACATAATAATGAAGTGATCAGGATAATGCTTTTATGAGTGGTGAAGAGTCCCTTGGTAGTCTTGGGACTGAATCTCTAGAGGGTCCCCATTCTCCCAGGAATTTCACTGCAGGAAGGTTCTTGCATGTTCAGTGTCCTTGGGACCAGGAATCCATATGTAATGATTTAAGCACATTAAGAAATAGGGTTACTCAGGGAAAGATATGTATGCAAAAAGTCCAGGGAATTAGATGAAGTCCTATCAATCACCAACAAAAGATAAGAGAGATGTCAATACACATGGGGATGCAGAAACCAAAGACAGTAAGTTGGCTGAATGGGAAGAGCTGGAAAGGCAGGCTGAAGCAGAAGAGGATAAAGAAGCATCAGGTTTATAGATTTGATCACACAAGGACAGAAATGATCAAAAGTAGAATTTATTACACACCTCTAATGTACCAGGCATATTAACTGACTCTTCATGTATTTTTTCACATTTACTTCCCATAATAAACCTATAAGGTAGAGTGATTCATTCACTTCAGACTTATTAAGCACCTACATGTAGACAGCCCCTGAAGCAGGAACAGAAAGAAGAGTCCTTGAGCTGGAGACCAGTGGGTGAAAAGTGGGGGATGTAGGAGATGAGTAAGAGCGGCCGGCAGGGCCAAGGAAAGAGCTGATGTCTTCAACAGGGATTGACGTCACATTTGCACTAAGTCACTTCAGCCATGTCTGACTCTGTGACCTTATGAACTGTAGCTCATCAGGCTCCTCTGTCCATGGGGATTCTTCAGGCAAGCATACTACAGTGGGTTGCCATTTCCTTCTCCAGACATCACATTTAGTTGACCGCTCAAAATCTCTATGACTACTAGGTAGAGAATTCCTTGCAGTGCAGCAAAACTGGACAGAGCAAGACCAAGTATGGGGCTGAGCTGACTGCAGATGAGAACTGGACCTGTTATGGGTCAGCTCACTTGCCTGGTCACACAGCTACAGAAAAAGGATTCCATTTAAGTAACCTGCTTTGATATACTACAGTTTACTTATGAGAACTTGGGTGAAATCTTACAGATCCCATTTCTTTTGCTTCATTTAGGGCCCATTATTAATACAAGTAGGCTACCCTTGTTGAATCAGTCAATCAAATATTTATAGAGCAAGGCATACTGATGCTCTTGGGGTTTCTATAACCTTTCATGATCTTCTCTGACTGCCATCTTGTCCTCTGGCTCCATGTGGGAGCCAAGTTGAGACCATACACCTTGCCTAGCCTGGGCAATCCTCTCCATCCTGCAGATCTGCATTTCAACCACTCCTCAGGCATCTCAAAATGCAGCACATACAAAACTCAACCCCTCACCTTTCCTAACATACCTGATTCTTTAAAAAAAAAAAAAATACAAAGCCTTGTGTGGAGGGCTGATCTTTAATAGACAACAGCAATTGAGCTGTTAAGTATGAAATCCTGATGCAACACGTCTGATTCTAATCAAATTCTGATTTCAATCTATTACCATACACTCCTTCTAGGAGAGAAATGCAAAGAGGCATGAAGAATTTTTCCCTTTCCCTGACATTCCCTACATACTCATTTTCTCTTAACCTCTCCTCTGCTCCAATTTCTTCTTCCCTGAGACCAACTTGTACTGATTCAATCTTTAAAATACCTCCTCTAAAATGCAGGTTCCATTCTCTCTTCTCACTTCCTAATTCAAATCCTCAGTATCTCCCAACTAAATTGTGACAATGACCTTCTTAATTATTCCATCTCCTACTTTCTCTAAGGCCATCTTTCCTACTATTTCCAGAATCACTTTTAAGAATGAAAACATAATATGTCACTCCCTCCTTTGAATATGTCTACTGATTACTAACGCCTATGGAGATAAAGATAAATCTTCTAGCAATGGCATAAAGAGTTTTTAAGCTCTAGCTTTAGCTACCACTCACCTGCCCCTTCTTTCCCAAACACTCACAAGCCATACACTATAAACATGCAGATCTTATCACATTTCTCAAGCATATTCTTCTTGTCTATAATCCTGGGTTTTATAATCCATTCACTCTAAATGTTTCCCCTAACTTATAACTGCTAATTTACCTGGTTACTCACTTAGGACCAGATTTTAAAAGATGAGACTCCTTTGAATATTTTCTTTGGGTCTGCATGATTAAGATAGTGATTATCAGTATCATTTGGATTCTCAAAGTACTTTTTTG